CAGGCTTGCTACAAGATCCAAGTGGACAAGCATCAGATTCCAGTGCCCCCATTCACAGTAGATGGCAAAGTCTACCTCAGTTCCAAACATATCAAAACCACCCATCTGACCAGAAAATTCTTAGAAAAATACCTTAATCCTTTCAAAATTATAGCCTAATCTAGTTTTCACTCCTTCACACTGAGGCTTCTGGTGGATCTCTGGTCCATTCATCTGGTCTTCCATGTATCACAATTGGAATCTGTAGAAGAAAACACCATTTCTAACTGAATCCAACCACCACCACCTCCAGTCAAAGTCAATAGGAAAGAACATTTCAAAATAGCTCAAATCTTTAACTCTAAGCTCAACTGCTGGTTCTGCTGTCTACTGCTGTACAAGATCCACTGGCAGGGCTATAAAGGTACCAATGAAGAATTTGCTTGATTACTAGCCTCTGAGTTCTCTGCTGATGAGTTCATTGAAAACTTCCACCATTAACACCCAGATAAACCAGGACTCTTATCCAAAATTGTCCATACATCCTCTTCTTGATACAACACCATTTTAGACTTCTCTGGCACCCACCCTTACCATTCCAACTCCAATCACTATAACTACTCTTTTAATCATCTTTCACAATTTACAAATAAAAATAAAAATAAAATTTGCAATTACATTTCTCTTTTTCCTCTACCAACATCTGATGCCTTTTTCTATATATATTTCATACAAAATTTTTACAGTGAAGCAGTATCTGACAGGCCTGCACTGGAATCCAAACTCTTCCTCTGCTTCTTCAACTTCTCTATATTCTTATCCAGCCCCTCAACATCATCTCCTAAAGATCCTCCATCTCCTGATCTCTCTCATTCTTGAAAATCAGTCAGGCCTTCTTCCAGACCTTCACCTTGGATTCTAAAAACAGCTCTGAGAGAGATGACATGTCATCAGAACTATAGTCATCCCAGAGACCCACTACAGTGCTATGAACATCTGCCAGCTCTTCTGCCAACTTGTCTACATGACACATCAACTTGCAAATTAATTTTGAAATTTGGTGGAAGCCAGTGGAGACCTTCACACTACTGATCACCTCACTTGCAGTGACACCCTTGTTCAATGAACAGGCAGTTTTCTTGATCTTGCAGCAAGTGCAAGTCTGCCTTTGACTAGTGTCTTTGGTTACCAGTCATGCATAACACTGTGTGCCATCTTGATGACAGCACACACAACTTCCTGAAAACAAAGCTAAGTCAAACCATGCAGAAAAACAAAGACACTTACTTTCACTTTCCAACAACTCTTTGCCCTCTACTGGCCTCACAACTTCCAACTTCACCTGCTTTTTGAGACTAGCAACTACCTCTGTCCTACTGCCATCCACTACACTCCTTGACCTGAACTTGCATTTATGGCCCTTCTCTATCAGATCCATCATCCTTCTCTTACCTTCTTGCATCTTTCTCCTCCTCTCCAAAACCCCCTCAGACTCCTCTGACTCATCATCCCTCTCAGACCCCTTGTCTGGCTCACTTTCAGACTCTATTGAGACATAACTGGCCATCCTTTTGAAACAGAGACTGAGCCCAGAACTGAATCAAGCCATCAGAACTCATTACAGCCTGAAATTGATGGCCTCTGCAGGGGTCATTTGCAACCCACCCTCTGTAACTATCCCCTCCTGCCCTACCTCTGAGGCTGCAGTCCTTACTGCAGCCTCTGTCACCTCCCTCTCCTCAGCCTCCCTTTGAGCTGCTTCTCTCAATGCCTTCTCTGCCTCCTTCACTTGTCTCTCTGCCACCTGCCAGACCTCCTCTTTCTTTCTCTCCAACCTCTCTTGCTGCTTCTTCCTCCATGCTTTTCAGGCCACATGGTCTGCCCAGACCTTCTCCTCTCTCTCTCACTCCCTTTTCCACTCCAAGTGGACTTCTACAGCCTCTGTGTATTCTTCCTCTGTGGTTTGCCATTCCAGATAGAATAATTTCTTGGCCTCTTCAGGGCCATTAGAGGTGAGTTCCCTCACCAAAGGCTCAGGAGTGCATGAGCAATGATATGTGGCAAGAGATGACATAGTTGTAAAAGTTTAGGCAATAGTGGTGGTGTCAGATCAAGTTGCAAAACTTCCCATGGCCACCAACAATCTTTCATGTGGCCTCACCAGCCATTGGGATCTGCACTCTTGAGGGCAAGAATGCTAATGGAGGGATACCATTATGTGCATGCCACCAGCCTCTGTGTCACCTCAACCAACCATGAATTCAATCACCAAAACCCACCAGACTCCATCCACTCTCTATTATCTATTAATTTCATTTTCACCATTATCATTTCACATCCATATTTCACATTGTAATATCTAGACCCTGAACTCAGTAGCAAATAATTGACACTAGAACCCAATGGATTCTGACTCAGAATTAGCTATTATTAGTATGTAAAACTGTGTATAATCATTGTAACTACTCAGTTTGAATATCAACTTGAATAGCCATCTACACTTTATGCTCACTTCAACTTCTTTCTACCTCATCTATCAGATTCTGCTCCAAAGGATATTCCTCTTCACTTCTCCAATGGAACTCTGTTCTGTCCATCCAAATCCTTAGGCCCTGACTCAAGAATGACATTGCCAATAGCTTTATTGATGTTCACACACTCTGCTCATCTCTGTGTATGCATGGAAGTCCAGTTGATTGGCATGTTCCTAACAAGAAGCAAGACAATGGTGGAGGAGAGTACATAGGTTATGAATTTGATCAGTTATACATAGATGAAGAAATATCAAGGTGCTATACTAAGCCTGATGAGCCTCATCAAAATGGAATTGCAGAACATGCAAATTATGATATTGCTGAAGAAGCTATTACTATACTCTATGAAGCCCATCTCTCTCCTTTCTTCTGAGAACTAGCATTGCTTGCATTTGTATATGTGCACAAATATTGCCCTACAGCACCACTTTCTAAAACAACACCATACACTGGCTGGCACAAGAAGAAACCTGATGTCTCTAACTTGCATGTCTTTAGCTGCTTAGCTTATGTCATTGGTACAAAGCCACTATGCAAGAGATACAGGCACTTGTTGAAAATAGTGTCTTTATATTGGTGAAATGCTCTTCAAATCAAAAGGCAGTTGGGAGTTGCTGGATATTCAAAGTAAAATGCAATACTGATGGATCAATCAAGCACTATAAAGCAAGGCTGGCTGTAAAGAGATACTCACAATGGCCTGGTTTTGATTATATTGAAACCTTCTCTCCAACACCAAAATAACCTGCCCTATAAGCTGTTCTGGCACTTAGTGCCCTCAAGGATTTAGAGCTATAGAGTGTTGACATCTCATCAGCATTTTTCAATGGTGAGCTGACAGAAGAGATTTTATGAAGCAGCCAGAAGGTTTTGAGGAGAAAGGAAAGGAATAGGTCTGACACCTCTTCAAGTCTCCATATGGACTAAAGCAAGCTGAGAGAGAATGGCACAAAAAGCTACATGTGACATTGACCAATGCCATGAGTTTTGAACAGGTGAAATGCAAGCATAGTGTCTGAGTTTATAAGAGAGATAGTAAACATATCATCATTTCAGTCTTCACTGATGACATGACCATTGCCACAAAGACATCAGATGATGTTGAAAAGGTCATCAATGATCTCAAGAAGCACTTCAAGCTTTGAGACTTGGGTCCAATGTCTTACCTTCTTGGTGTCAAGATCAAGCATAACTGAGCCAACCAAACACACACACTCTCTCCCAGTGCCAATACATCTTAGATATCCTGCAATGTGTAGGAATGGCTGACTGCAACCCTGTTCTGACACCTTTGGATCCAAATGTAAAACTTACAGCAGATCAGTCTCCTGATGTTGCCTATCCTGTGAGTGTACTCTCACAATTCAGCAAAAACTCTGACACAGCCTACTGAAAAGCTCTCAAATGGTTTTTATGCCATCTGAAGGGCACAGTTGACTATCACATTGTCTACTCTCCTGACTCTGAGTCAGATTCACCAGTCTTTGATTTCAAGACTTATTGCAATGCAGATCATGGGGGAGACAAAGATAGTGGGTGTTCCATAAGTGGCTACATTGTCAAAATAGAGACTGAAGCCATTAGCTGGATGAGTCATCTTCAGGCATTTGTGACACTCTCAATGACAGAGGCAGAATATGTTTCAGCTGTGTCTGCTGGTCAGGAAATCCTTTGGCTTCACAACTTGTTCACAGATTTTGGCTATTCATTCACCAATGCTTCAGTCCTCTATATTGACAATGAGGCTGCTCTATCACTCACTTGGAACCCTGAACATCATGGCTGGGTTAAACACCTTGACCTTCTGTTGGGATTTTGCTGAAAAGTTCTAGAAAGGGCAATCCAGCATCATGCCAAGAGTTGATGAGTAAGCTTGAGAGAAAGAGAAAGTTGTAGTAAATTCTAGATATAAGCCTGGAGAGTATAAATACAAGCTCTGTAGGAGCTGTAGTAGAACAAGTTCATTCCATCTGGCCTTACCAGCCTGGAGTCTACCCTGCACAACACCCAGGATTCCTAACACCTTCAATTCTATTGGCTGTGCAATGAGGTTGAGAAGGGGTGCATCCATGTGGTCCACTTATGAACTGACAATATGCCAGCCAATGCCTTGACAAAGGGATTGGGAAGAGAGAAGCTCAGGCACATGATTACCCTACTCGGACTTGTCTCAATACCTCCGTAGACATGTTCGGTCGAGGGGGAGTGTTGAAGTAGAACACCCTCCATGTCACTCTTATCTTATATAATTGTAGCTACCAATATTGGAGATCGAAGGTCAATACTCCTCAGCTTTTGACCTTCGACTCTAGACCTGGCTTCTCCCGCTGTGCTACACAACCTGCTCTCAATACAATACATCCTAGATATTCTACAGCACATGGGGATGTCGCTTTCCATCTCCATTTACTGCCTGATTGGGCCTCAGCCCAGGCTTTGATCCAATGCCAATTTAATTACGAGTGTTTCCATGCCTCCGAAGAATTTAGAGAATGAGATGTGTCTTCGGCGGCCAAGACTCCTGTGAAACCAGAACTGATAAATGAATGAACCTGGAATCATCCACCTATGCACCGAGCAAGGGTGGTGGATACAAACAAAATAACGAAAGCTCGTCTCGATCATCCAGTGTATCTCCTTTTTCAGACTTATCAACGAGACACATTCTTTATTTAATAAAGAACATCTGTTTCTTTGTTTCTATTTGCAGAGGAGACGGAATAATGACAGTTGAAATCAAGATCATTACCACGCAATTCGTGCAAGGAACGATGTTGGATGCTTCCTGTTCCACCACTTGCGTGCCTCGTCAAGGAAAAGCATTCCGATACCATATCTAGACCAAAAAGATTGAACATCGTGTCGCTCAGCTTGGACAGATGAAGATGACTCACGCAATCGGCAAGAAGAAGAACTCGACGTGAATTCCACGCGTCAAAAGAACTTGTTGGAACCAAGGAATGTAGGAGAAGAAACTGCTCGGATTGATTAGTATAAATCCGTCGAAGACACCTGGGAGAAACTGACCAAGCGAGTACAAGTGCAGCAGCCATAGCAGGGAACAGGAAAATATTGCGCGTTTTGGAACTGAAAGGATTCTGCTGGAACAACGACAGCCTTCGGGTACGTGTGCCAAGTAGGTTGAACCACTGCATCATGACTAAATTGTAGAAATCTACAAACTATTGTCAATGGGCGCGTTGGGAAACAACAAAATTCCGCCATACAAATTGACTGAGCCTTGTTGGTGAGTTCTTTAACTAGATCTGGGTCGGCGTCGTAGCCTCCATACTTGAGCCACAGGGCGGAGAATGGAACACCATTCCGCTGAAATCCAAAGTAGAACGCTCTAACGTTCATGTTCGACTCAAAAAAAAAAACGGTAGCATCGTTATCGAAGACTCACCCGACCATGGACGTCACTGCTTCTATGATACCTAGAAAGAAATAGGCATGCAGCAAAAGTCTCCAGTTGATCAAACGGTCCTTTTTGCGATCACGAGGCCGGCGTAACAAGAGATCTGCTTCAGGCTTCTCGTTCACCATGGATAACGCAGGAGAAACGTCCGTAAAAACACAAATTATGATCATCTGGAAGCTGCTCAACGCTTGTGGTACCCCGGTGAGTACGTTCAGAACAACAGGCATGAGCTCTGAGAAACTACCTAAGTCACATGTCAGGCAGATGGTAACGACAGGATTGATTCGTAAACATACCGGCAGGCAGGAGGTACAATATTGACTTGCGTAAGTTCTCAAAACATAGCCGTCCATACTGAATTCCGGTGATTATGGCAGAAAAATCTGAGAGTAGTATCAAATCCGCGGCTTCCATAGCGACTTCGGAGCCTCCAGCGATGGCTACCCCAACGTCAGCTTGTTTCAGGGCAGGAGAATCATTGACTGCATAAGAAGATGTGATGTGAGCAAAAATAGCGTAAGTTTGAAACCGTTAAGCATCACCCCCATCGCCTGTCACTGCAACGGTACATCCCTCCGCCTGCAATTTTTTCACTATTTGGAGTTTCTGCTGGGGGGTTGTCCGGGCAAAAACAATCTCATCAAAGGCAAGGGCTTGTTTCCATTGTGACTCGGTCATGCCGACGAGGTCAGAACCACTGAGGACAAGACTTCTCATTTCCGGACTTGAACGTCTATCAATCTCGGGCTCGTACCCAGCCACTGACTCTAGAGAAGCGTCATATGGAAGGTCTTTAATATGCTTCACTTCGCTCATTGGCGTCGTGATAATTCCCACCTGCTGAGCGATGGCGGCAGCGGTAGAGGAGAAGTCACCTTCAAGATTGGATTTAGTAAACGAAACGCCTACGGTGCCAAAACCGACCTGTAACCATTGCAAAACGAACGCTTGCCCGGCGCGCTACAGCAACCGTTTCCTTGACATCATCTCTTGGAGGGTCTATCAGTGCTACCAGACCTACCACCGTCAAGTCGGAGTTGAGGCCAAGAATACGGTCCTCCATAGGGAAAGAACCAGATTCGACGAAGAAGTCTGTCGGCAATTTGGAACCATGAATAATCTTCTTTGCCATGAGTAGAACACGTTGGCCGTTTGACGCGAATTGCTCTTGTATCGCCGATAAACGGTCTGCGATGGTCTCGTCCATTGGCACAATCAATCCCTTCGAATCCATCATGTGGCTACACCGGCGTAATACTATCTCAGGGGCCTATTGCTTTTAGATAGCCGACAACAGTGAACACAGGACAAGACTTACTCCTTTGACTAATAGAACATAATCTGATGACATGTTGAAGTCATCATTGGAAAAGATGGGCATTGAGGTAATCGGTTTCTCTTGGGGAAGCGCTTGTAGTAGTTTCATGGCAAATTTGTTTTCTATACAGATCATCAAAATATAACGTGGCTAGCAAAGAAAGGCGCATACTGGAGTTGAAAGCAAGCTTCGCACGTTCTATCCATGCTGCTCGGCTGTCCTCGATGGGCATGATGCTCTCTGAAAAGCGAAGTAGACCGGTATCTAAACATCCTCAGTGTAAGTGGAGAGATAGTGGAAAGCCATATTAAGATACATGCCCGTAGCATCACCGTGAACTTTCCGAATCTCAACAGGTAATTCGTCGTCTGTGTTGTCGAAACGCGCGTCATTACAGATTCCCGCGGTTGCGGCTAAAATCTGAATGCGCTCCCCGGCGGGCCCATTACCGACTGCAGCCTCTCTTGCTTCCGAGGCCGTTAAAAGCTCGTTCCCTATAGCGACATTAACCACGGTCATTTTGTTCTTGGTCAAAGTCCCCGTCTTGTCCGAGGCGATGAAATTGACACATCCCAAACTCTCGACTGTGCTGAGCGACTTGCATAAGATGTTAGCTTTTCGCATGGCGCCGGCTCTAGAGGAAAACTGGTGAAGCTGACTAAAGAAAAGAATAATTATCACCCACATCACCGTCAGTGAAAGCGTGACGCAAACGGGAAGACCCTCTAATGAACAGTAAGGTAACTAAGAATAAATTTAAAGGGCAGTTCTTACCCGGAATAAAGGCAACGGCGACAGAAACTAAGTCGATGAGCAATACCGGAACGGAGATGAAGCCCGGATAATCACGGCGAAGCCATGCAGCCCACAAAACTGAAGACACAAGAGTAAGCCCAGGGATGAACATGCTGAAAGTGATAGACTTACTGATGACAATGATATCAATGGCGATTGCCAAACTACAGATGACCAGTACGATGCGAAGGATCTCGGATTCCAATGAAGTTCGCCCAGGACGCTCTGATGCGGCTTGTTTGGCAATACGTCCGAAGACCGTGTTGTCACCAAGGCACACACATACACCCAGTCCGTCTCCACTAACACAGAGTGTCCCCTGAAGAGCTATGTTGCGAGATTCTATGACTAGCGACAGAACCATCAGCTTTATCTGGATAGAGGTCAAGTAAGAGCATACAGCTGGGGTCCGTTCCTTCGACAGTCGCAGGAACAGCGTTGCTTTCTCCGGTCAAGATGGACCTGTCGAATTTGAGATCGGAGGATACATCGATGAGCCGCAGATCTGCAGGGACTTTGCATCCCATAGTAACATGGACTATGTCTCCAAGGACAAGCGCGGGGGCTGGGACTCTGACTAGGTCGTCAGATGGAACAGGTTATACCTGCGGAGCCACTTACTTCAACGTGTGACCATCCCGAGTAACTAAAACGTCCAAGGGTAACATCGCGGCAATGGATTTCATGGTGCGACTCGTGGTGAAATCTGATGGAAATGGATAAGTAAGGTCATCGACAAAGCCATTCTGTCTTCCGTACCTTGCCATGCATTAAAGACGGCCTGAATCGCAAGAACTATCAAAAGCACCACAGCAAGGGCAAGGTTAGCCGTAGCTGGGTCCGGGTCACCTAGAGGTCTCCTACGTGTGGCTGTTAACTTTTTATACCTTAGCACCAGAGCCTATGAATGAACAAACCAAGACAGGAAGCAGATGATTGACGCAATGAATAACAGACTACCAAAGCCTTGATGGCGGGCAGCAACGTCAGAGAGCAAAGGGGACAGATGAGAGGAACATGTACCTCCAAATATATAGAAGAAAATACGCCTGGTGAGGTTCTTCGGCGGTGGTGTGATAACGTTCTTGCCATTCTGCGTCAAACGCCTGGCAACCATGGGGCCATCTAAGCCATTTTTCTCGGACACCCCAAGGCGGGTGAGGACCTCCAGCGTATCGAGCTCGTGCCAGTCCAAATCCGCAATTTCTACAAGAAATAATGAGTATACTGTCTGAACAATGGGTTGCGATCAGCCTACCCTTGACTATGGTCTTGGCTTTGGCGTTCGTAGCACCCTCCTTTGTCTCAGTGACATTAATACTGTGGAAATATCAGGGAAGTGCATCATGCGTATGATAAGGGGGCACCTCAAAGTCCTGAACTCGCCGGGTATCTTCGCCCCCATATTGACGCCCTGGGAGTAGACACTGGCACTACGGCGTAGTGCCAGCGCCGTACCGTCATTACGAGAGCGAGTCTCTACAAGAACATGAGGAGGCTCTTCCAACTCCTTTTCGGTACTTCCCGCAAGAGATTCCACATCGAAGTGCAGAGGCAATTCACCGGGAATTTGGGAAGTCATTAAGAACGGAGGCTTGAGCCAGTTTTCTGCCGTTATCTATGTTTTTTGCTCTCGACTAGTGAGGGAATTTCGCTCAGAGAGGGATTAGCGCCGTGCAACAGCAAAATTCGCTCAGCTCTATACACGGATGCGCATCATGGACTTTTGATGTTTAAGGTCCCCGTGCGAATTAAAGAAGTTGGATAATTCTGTTTCCGAAATAGCACTAGTTACCGACGTACCGCTGGCATTGAATCTTCGTTGACATCGGCGTGACAATTGAACTAGGAATGCCGTCGCAATTCGACACTCCTGGATGCGAATAAACACGTAGAAATTGGGCCCTTGGTCCCTATCATTACTCTCCAGAAGAGGCCACATCAACTCATTGACAGCTGTCAATGGACCTGAGCAAGCATTCTGTGATCAATTCGAAGCCCTTGCGATCGTATGCTCATCCATGGCTATACATTCACTTTGAAGAGCGGGAGAACCTTGGTATGCCGGGTTCGACGATCCACCAACAAATCAAGTTCATCATCATTGCGTGGCACGGTACCACTCGGGCATGGTACCGAACGTAGTGCTTATATCGTAGGGGCATCTGCTTCCTATCTTGGCGTCAAGTTAGGACCAAGATATCCAAGGAACGCTCGCCAGTGGCACCACCGCTAGTAGACCAGAGATGCAGCGCCTTTCTCGGTAAAGTCTGGAGCAGAACGTATCAAATCTTATTCTGTTTCTGTACTAGTCACTCACGACAAATTTAGAGGCAGGTGCGATGGCGCCGCGGGTCGTCAATGTAAGAGTACGATCATGTGAATGTAAGTTTATTGCCGAAGGCGCTCACCAAAACTTACTGATAGCGCGTAGCCTGCACATACCACTGGTTTCTCATGGCTCCGCATCAGCTGTTAGTCAGTCAGAAAGACCATTAGGAAGAATATCAATATAAAAGGACTCACTGTCATTATCCTTATCCAAGACGATGACAGTCTGAATGAGACCAGCACCGTCGTTGATACTAGGCCAAAGATAGAGACAGCTGAATCATCCACAGATCAAACATAGACTCTGTAGAAAACTGCTGGATAGGCTCATATATGAAGGACCGAAATTGCGATTGCAAGCGGTAACAGCCTTGAGGACGGTGGCGGGGCTGAGAGCATACACGGGATCCTGCGATTAAGCTGAAACACCAGCAATCAAGGCAACAACAGCAACAACAGAAAATATTGAATCGGCAACAATGCCTCGCTTCCGGAGGCACCGATATATCCAGCCATCGAGTCTAGGTCGTCCGGATGAACATCTGAGAGTTGGCAGCAGTCAGCGGCCATGAAACATTTGAATACAGGGAATTTTGACGTGGAACTCAGCTCCCCAGAGATACTATATGACATACCAGATGCGAGGACGCGATGACCAAAGCTCGCCCTTATGCATCCTTCCCACACTCGGCTGCTACCACAAGAGGGCTACGAGGGCGACACAGGTTCCTCGCAGAGCTCCTTTAGTCCTTCTTTACCCTCCGAACAAGCGGATCCTTCTGACGACTACGCTAATGCATTCGCAGGCTAATCGTAGTAAACTGGACAGTGTCATTCAGCGCCAGGAGCCATGTGTCGAGAATATCCATTTTGTGCAGAAAGATTGGATGAATCTTCTGAAACGTCTTCACGAAACGGGGGACGGGTAAAAATGAATGGAGATCCGGGTCGAACATACTAGGATGGACCTGAAGTCCTGTTGATTCCTGAATCTGAGCATTTCCGGCAGCGGGCCATGACGCGAGCTCTTCAAAGCGAATTCTGTACGAGAATAATAAGCAAGCTTCAAAGATAATAGTAGAGAGGCAAACGTACTACTTCTGGTTCGTTGTCAGTCCCAAAGGCCACCCTGCGCTATTCTCCATTGCTTGACCATATGATTGCACGAGGATACAGGACTCTCGGAAGACATTCCAGTGTTGCTGGCAAAGCTCTAGGCATCGAATGTTGGAAAGAGGCCGCCAAGGAAGGTGATGGTAGTATTGAACATCTCTGCAGTTGCTATCCCCAAGGTCACGCGTCATCCTGCGCTCTGACCACCGGTGCCGTTTCGAGGAAAAGGAACTCTTGTGCTTTGTGAGTGATATCGAACCTTTCTGACTCTGTTCGAAGGAGGTCCGCATTTGACCTGACATTTTTTTGATACAGTGTTCTTTTCGTTAATTTCCTTGTGCTCCATCGTGACCCATGTTCCCATGTTGGGATGAAACTACAATACATACGATATGCGTTTATGTCCTCGCGAATTGAAAAATATCTACAAGTCTCTGTGCGCCAAGATGACCTGACAAATTGTTCATGGACTCCAGGTTCGCTTTTCGTATGGATTTCTACGATGACTATGCATAGTGGCGGATAGACAGGGCAAGACACATTCTTTTGAACGCGAACACTCTTCTTCCGAGAAATCCGTTGCTGCTGAGTATAGGCGTTGCGACTCTCAGCCCAAATCGTCTCCGTTTTGCACCTTCGCGTAAGTTTATTATATGGTTCCAAGTTCGTGCGTTGCATGATCTCGACGGACTTTTCTTCAGTATGCATGACTTTTGTTCCTTTTGTGTTAGGACCTCTCATTTGAGTAAAAGTTTCTGCTTCGAGTCTTCTGCGTCACCATCATGTTCTCCTTCAAGCAATCCATCCTCGCCACTTTGGCTATATCCATGATCACGGTCAACGCGGACAAGGTACTCATCTATTAACCTCAAACTGTATCATCATATTGACAACGACAGAGAAACTACTCATTTCAACCCCAAGTTCTATAGGTGCATGTGGTGGAGCCCCAACTCTTAGACTAACAGCGTTGCTTTCGCCAATGATGACTTTGGCAGTGGCTCACATTGCAGAGATACGTAAATTATAACCGATGGACACTTTAGACAATGATAAGACCGTAAAGGCCATTGTCAAGCCTGCAGTCCCATCGATATCAATCTCTCCCCCGCATTCCAGACCCTTGCCAATCTTGATATTGAAGTTATCGAGGTCCCTTGGGACTGTGAGCAGGCTGCTATGTATTCCCGTAGCTACCTCGCGAACTCTTCATGCGTCAATCTATATTACATTCTACTATTACTACACTGAAACCAAAGACATGAGAGTGACTCCAGGCCTCAACGAACATACATTATCGGAGAATAATAATTAAGTTGAGTTCGGATCTTAAATAAAAGTGTTCGTCAGTGAATGCCCAAACGACGCACACTTCAGATATGTTTGCTTAACAGACAACGCGTAGATAGCATATGTAGCAAAAGTCAGAGTATCACAATAGTGATAAGATTTTGTATGACCGGCAATTCCTCCCACAAAACTGGATAGAACCATCTACTCATAGTTCCAGGTTACCTTGATGCCCCCATCATCAAGAAGGGCAAGCTTCTGGAATGCCGACTCCGAAAGATCAATCCCGTTATTGCCACATCCAGAGCAAATGTCACCAATGGCAGCGTCTATGAATTTACCGTTGTCTAAAGAAGTACACTATCAGCGCACTATACAAGTTCGAGGCATTATTGAACATACAGTGCACACCAATATGCTTCCAGCAATGCACTCCTCTAGCGTACTGGTTGTTGGAGAGCGCGACAATATGGTCAGAGTTCTGCAAAGGCGTGCCACAGGCCCCGACGTTGCCATTCGGAGTGTATCAGGTGGCTGGGAGCTGCTGTGATTACGACGGAAGCAAACACTGTAGTCGATGCGCGCACCTTCCCCAGTGAGCGCGTTGACCATACTAATGGACAAAGCCAATGCAGCGATGATAGATTGTTTGAGAGAGAACATTGTAGATATGGAATATTCGAAAGACTTGTGGGTTATCGAATGATCATATGGAGGGCCTACTTGACACTTTTATACCTATGCAGGGGCTCGAGAGAGACGGAAATTATCAGAGCAAATATGCAACTGGGTCAGACTTGCATCTGATTAAGACATGCCCAACAGCAGAACTGAGATACCGACTCAGAAGAAACATCAGAAAGGGTGAAATGGCACACAAGAACAGTTAAACCACGAAAACTGGCCTGGGACTAGAAGATGGGGTGGGCACAAAACTAACAAAAATATGATGGCAGCACTCTGAGCCTGTGTGAAGTGGAATGAGCAGTAGGCCTAGGTTGTAATGAGAGAGCAGGGCTCATCTCACCTAACAATGTAGGAGGTGGAAGCAAAGACAAGAGTCAGATATCTGTGCCAATGTCTCTCCTAGATCAGCATCAGCTGAGAATTGGCACTGACTCAGAGATGGTACAAGTACCACATCCCATGGGCAAAGTGGTGCTTTAAGAAGGTGGAGCCTGCAAGCATCTTGAGTTTGCACAGAGGTCTGTGAAAAGGCTCCCTACCCTTGGAATCCATCTTTATGACAATCTCTGCAACTTACTTGAGGTGCAAAAAAAGGTAGCTGCAATAGGGGACTTGAAGTTCAAGCCCCTCAACTGATTGCAGACTACAGCACATGAATGGCTGGCTATATAGGCTCATGATGGTGCAATGGTGGAGGTGGAGGTGGTTTGAAAAGATATGGGCAGGCCATGGTTAAAAAGATAGAGGATGGTAATATGGATAAGCTATTTGAAGTTGAGCACACAATGCAGAATGTTCTCAGACATAAGTAGTCTAAGCTTTAGATGACCAGTAGTCAAGAGCTTGTATGATTGTTTCTGATAAGCCAAGAGATGTGTAAAATGTCACATCTCCAGCCCTGGCAGAGTGGCCTCTGAATTCTCTACCTAGAATGATAAACAATTTCTTATCAAACCAGGCTCATGTTGCCATTCTCTCATAGGAATAGAGCTGCACATAGGCTATAGATGTAATCTCACTGTATAATATAGTCTATAAGTTGTACAGGATCAGTGACATCCTGTCATGTGAAAAGGATGTCAGTTCTATGGTAAAAGAGATCCAATTTATAATAGAGTAGATGAAATTGTATACTGTTTTTGCCAAGGATAAAGAAGGAGTGTTATATTATTTTGTAGTCCTGAAGTTGTCTGTCACTTTTCCATATCAGTTCATCTGATTGATAGCATCTATAGAAGCATCAGAAAAGTATGATAGCAAAAAGTAAATCATCATATGATTTTGAGATTTGAGCAAGAAGGCAGAAGGCAATTACATGAAATAGTTGAAGTAGTTTTTATGAGATTGAATTTTCTCTCATCTTTTTCAAACCACATATAGTTGCTTAGACTATCAGATGCCTTTGATTGGTGTTAAAGTCAGGGTAGAGGTCTTTTAGGAAGTGGCAAACTCCTGTTAGATATTTCAGACCTGAGACAATGAATTGAGAAGTGTTGGTGATATAGCAGCTGAGGGTTTGGTGCATTGGATCAAGTGGTAGGGTATGGATGATGTAGTCACATATACCAGTTGCATAACCTTTGGCCATGCTAAGCTCAATTGCAATTATATGAGCTTGAATAAAGTGAGCCCATTCATTGAGAAAAGAAAGAGAAGAGGCTGGGCCAGTGGAATAAGGAGTATGTTCACTCAGGACATTTAAAAGAACTGTCTCCATTATGCCAGCAATAAGTCTCTCAGAGATTTTAGTCTTTATTGTCACCAAATCATGACTCCTATCTTATCACTGATGCTTAGTAAGCCTGACATTATGGCACCTCTCAGCCATGCAGAAAGCTCATGGATGCTATTGTCATAAAGGCAGATTCCAAGGGTTGAAAGCATTTTCATAGAGTGTGAACCTCAAGACACTCACAATTCTGTTGATACAGAGTGTTAAGAATGTGCCAATAGAATAAAGTTGAATGCATGCATGAAGACCAGTAAAGTGCATAGGCATTAATGAAGCTATTAACAATGTTATCCTTGAGTCAAAGCTCAAGGAATTAGATTGACAGAATGGAGTCCATTGGAGAGATGAAGAGAGATATCCCTTGGAGCAGAATCCATTGGACAAGAGAGAGAACTCAGAAGTGAGTAAAAAGAGTAATAGCTTATCCAAGTTGATATTTGAACTGAGTATCTGTTGGATTAGCAAGCAGGAGCTCCATTGTATTCCACTGGTTGAGCTTAATACTTCTTTATGTCAGGATAGACAATATATATACTGAATATAGTCTGTTGAGCACTCTCACCATATTTTTGCTTATCACTGCACTATGTGAGGGTGAGTATCTACTTGTATTACTTCATATATCTTACTGACCAATATCCTGTAGTCTATGTTATATCTAACAGTGTATTCTACTAGGTGCTATAAATATGCATCACTTTCTTAGAGGTTATACAACTCCAAGAATTACTCTATCCTATCCTTTATACTCAAATGACTTCTGCCATTGCTGCCTTGACTACAGGCCTACCATTGAACATCCCTACACTAAACACATCTGGTGACAACTGGTCCATCTTCTACCTCTGCTTTTCCACTGGCATTCAAGCCAAAGAGAAATGAGATCACTTTGATGGATTAAAGCCCAAAGCCTCTCTCACTGCATCCACAACAACTCTCATCACTGAGCTAGATTAATAAGAGAAAGATGAGGCTGTAGCCAAGAATCTTCTACTCTCAAAGATCCCTGACTCAGTTGCTATGAAGATTTAGCATCTTTCCACAGTCACTAAAGCCTGGTCAAAGATTGAAAAAGACTTTACCAATAAGAGTGGCTATGCACAAACTGACCTTCAGCAGCAGTTTATAAAGTCACATTGCCTGGCCAAAGGCAACCTTCATGAGTTTCTTGATGGTCTGTCAATGAAACAGGAGTCATTAGCTTCTATCAGTGTCATCATTGAGGAGAAGGATTACCACTCAACAATTCTCACCTTCATCCCCCTCTATCTTGCCAAGCATGCATTGACTCTTCTTACAGCAGCAAAGCTTTTCAGTTTCAACAAGAAAGTCAATCCTGAGAATCTGATTCATGCCATTTCTGAGGAATATGATCAGCTAGAGCATGAGTGAGCCAAGTGTAGTTGGCAGTCTGAAAAGAAAAAGGATTTGGAGCAAGATGAAGCCATGTCTGTTTCATCAAGCTCAGATGGCAACAAAAAGGAAAAAAAACCTGGCAAGAAATTGTGCTAGGGATATGAGAAGAAAGGACACTTTAAAAACAAATGCCCCAAGAAGAAGTTGTCAGATAATGACAGCAAGGCTTCTAGATCAAAGGGTGAAATAGCCAATATGGCTGAGAAATTATCAGGTTCAGACTGAGAAGCCAGCAGTACATTTGTGGTTGATGATGCTAGCAACATGCTGTCACTGGCTGCAGTTTCTGAGTCAGATGAGTCTGAAGTTGAGGGCTTGTCAGAGCACTCAAGGGATGAAGATGATGGTGCTGATCTTTTTTCAGAGGTTGGTGATGAGTTGTGGAATAAGCTGAGCAGCACATTATTCTCAGATATTGACTGGAGTGATGTGAACTCTTTTGTTGACAGGCAATCAGATGTCATGTCTGGCATGCCAACTTTAGAGAAAGTATCTGCTTCTGAAGAGTCAGTCACAGCCATTATCAATACTATAAACTCACCTGATATTTAAATTCATACTGAACTCTATGACTCTGGCTGTACACACCATATTTCCCCCTACTGCAAGGATTTCAACTCATTCCAGTCTGTCCCACCCAAAACATTCCATGTTGCAAGCACTCAAAATTTTTCTGCAGCCAGAAAGGGTGTGATGAGATTGATGTGCTAAATGGCACAAATACAAGCAATCTGCAACTCACCAAGATCATATACTCTTCTGAAGTTGACTATACACTCATTTCAGTTGGCTGACTTGTGTTATGATTTTTCCTATTTTCCTTTCTTTTTCCTCAGGAATGATCCCTATCTTCACTTAGTCAGGACACTTAGGCCAGTGCTTAGGACCATGAGAAGGCTTAGTCAGCAACCCAGTCAGTCATGGTCTTATCATGCTGCTGTGTGCTGTGAAGGGAGAGACAATGCTCTTTTTGTCCTCAGACTGCAGTGCAGCAGTAACAGCACAACAGCAAGACAACAACTTTTGTGGAGAGCCTGGCAACAGCAGGGGTAACAGCTCTATGACAAACAATATCTTTTGTGAATGATTATTTATAGCCAGATAACAGAACAGTATTTAAGTAGTGCAGTTTTTGCTGTAGTAGCTTCAGCATTGAGCTAAAGTTTATTCTCACCATCTTATCTTAAGCTACTTGCAAAATGCCTTGACTACACAACTCTATTGACACATCAGTGAACTCAGTCAGTCTAACCTGAAGTGCAAGGTTCTGAACTGTTTATCACATGTTGATAGTCATGTGGAATTTGGGCTTAACAACTTGATGATCTTGGTTTCAAGTTGACTTTTGGTGGTGGAAAATGCACCATCCATGCACCAGATAGAAAGATAGTTGGGGTTATCCCAAAGAACAATGGTGGCCTATATTGGGTTCATCATGAGAGAGATTTGGCTGGAGCAGCTGAGGAGGTGCTTACTCTAGACTAATTGCACTGCTATATGGGCCACATTTCATCTGGTCAAAAAAGGCTTCATGATTAGGATAAAGCTTGACAAGTCATCTGGAGAATCACAGTTCTGTGAGTCATATGTCTATGCTAAAAATACATGAAAGCCAGTGTCTAAGGCTTGAGAGAGAGAACATGCAACTGATATTGGAGGTAAAATTCACTCAGATTTATAGGGATCTGCATCTGTGGAATCCCTACATAAACACCATTACTTTATCTCCTTCATTGATGACAGCACTTGTTAGGCTTACCTTGAATTTTTATGCCAAAAGAGTGAAGCTTTTATAGCATATAAGGCCTATGAAGCTCACATCCACACTTAGCATGACCACTCTGTAAAAATCCTCCATTCAGACTATAGAAGTGAATACTTTGACAAAGCATTTGTCTTACATCTGAAAACTGCTAGCATAGCAAGGAAGATGACTGTGCATGATATGCCACAGCATAATAGGGTGGCTGAAAGGTACAATTGCACAGTTATTGAAAAGGTCAGGGAATGGAAAGAGAAATACTAGTTACACCTTGAGACTAAGACTATGAAGCTGGGTGGCCACATACATGAGGGTCAGTGGATTGGATTTGATAAAACAAGCAATGGATCCCATGTCTACTGGACAGAGAATAAAATGGTGTCTATCAAGCAAAATGTTTATTTTAATACAACTCATATTGCTGCCAATGATCTTGATAGAGAGGAAGACATTGAGCTACATAAGATTCCATCAACACTAAAAACTCAGTCCAACCCACCTACTGCAAAGCCATCACAGGTGTCACCTACCTCTGAAGTCCAGCCTACAGTCCAATCCATAGTTGAAAAAACCTGTTTCAGATGCACTTGAAAGCCCAGCCAGTGAGTGTTGGACCTTATCTCTGGCAAAGACAGTGTATTAGCATATTCAAGTGATCCTGTGGTACCTGTTGGTGTTCAGTTACCAGCTGTCAATGAAAACAATGAATCTCTTGAGTTTGAGAGAGAGACAGAGGCAGATTAGTTGATAATACTTGAGGATGCTGACTTCTTTGAGGAGTATACCATGGCCATTTCAACAGCTGATCCAGAAGCCTTAGAGCCACACAGTCTAGCTGAGCAAAGTGTCAGCCTGATTGGCCTTTGTGAAAAGATGCAATACAGGAAGAGCTTGTGATGCTGAAGACTGCAGGGACTTAAGAGATCATTGACAAACCAGTTGGAGCAAATGTTGTGGGCTATTAGGAATATGCCAATTGACTGGGCTTGAGTGCACATGTAGAGACTGGCAGAGTGCATAGATGTCAACAAAGCTATTGGCAATGTCACCCTTAAGTCAAAGTCCAAAGATTTGGATTGACAGAATAGAGTTCCATTGGAAAAGTAAAGAAAAATATCCTTTGGAGTGGATCTGACAGACAAAATAGAGAGAAGCTGAAGTAAGCACAAAGTGTAGATGGCTATCCAAGTTGATATTTGAACTGAGTAATTACAATGCTTGTATGTGGTTTATATACTATTGGTAGTTAATTCTGAGTCAGAGTTTATTGGGTTCTAGTGTCAGCTGTTTGCTACTGTGTTCAGAGTCTAGATACTATAATGTGAAGTACAGATATGAAATGATAATGGTAAAATGAAATTAGTAGATAATGAAAAGTGGTGGAGTCTGGTGAGGCTTGTGATTGAATTTATCATTGGTCAAGGTGACATGGAGGCTGGCAGCATGCATATAACAGTATCCTCCTGTTAGTGTTCTTGCTCTCAAGAGCACAGATCCTGATATCCAGTGGAAAGATATATGGTAAAAAATTTTATCTCATGAGAGTTTTTGTCTTTTATTTTTCAACCACCATCTTCTCCAGCTTGCAACAGTGTCATCTCTCACCACCTATTGTTGTTTAAAAACTCCTGATCCTATGGTGCAGGAATCCACCCCCAATGGCCTTTAAGAGGCCAAG